TGAGGTTATGTGCATGAGGTTATGTGCACTATGAGGTTATGTGCATGAGGTTATGTGCACTATGAGGTTATGTGCATGAGGTTATGTGCACTATGAGGTTATGTGCATGAGGTTATGTGCACTATGAGGTTATGTGCATAAGGTTATGTGCACTATGAGGTTATGTGCATGAGGTTATGTGCACTATCCGCATGCCTGGTGCCCTCAGGGAACTGGAGTCACAGGCCACTGTGAGCTGCCTGCTGTGAGTGCTGGGACCAAACTCAAGTCCTCTCCAACAAAACCAATGCTCTTAACCACTGAGCCATCTCTCCAGCCCCTAGGCCTCTGTAATACTATGCTATGCTAAATTTTAGCACTTATTGTTTTATTTATGATCTTGGCTTCCGCTGCTTGCAAATGCCATAACTGCAATTGTTTGCTACAATGAAAAGAGATGACGATGAAAACAGAAAATCCAGTCCCTGGGCTCCTGGATCCACTAGATTCCATATCCCAGCCTCCTATGTAGCTTGGTGGGGTCATAGGACAGTTTCTGGCCAATGGGTGTGAGGGGAAGTAATGAAGCTATTTGCAGGACTGGAAAGGAGGGGAGGGAAGTTGGTAGGTTCCCACAGGCTTCCCTAGAGACGCTGAGTGCCAGGAAATGGCAGGTTCACAAGTCTCCCAGGTAAACAGAGATGCACTCATTGACACGGCTCCCAGGGCTGTTCAGTGAGAAATAAGCCCAGGTTGCCTGGCAACAAGAAAGTAGGTACTGTTTGTTCCTGGGACTCAATGTACCCAGCACAGGAAGGTGGTTAAACCTCGAGAAAGGGCCAGGCAGTAGGAAGGGAGTAGGAAGTACTGGAGACTCTTTGGCTCAACTATTGTTTCATCCAATTTGACCTTAAACTGGTGTCTCCCAAACTGGATCACGGAAGCACTCCAGGGACTTTAGAAACACAGGCGTGGGCTCCTCTCCCGGAGATGCAGGCTCTGCCAAGCTGGAGCTGAGACTAGAAGCCAATCAGTTCTGCAGCTCCATAGGAACCCGCAGGCTCACACTGTGGCCGTGGGAGGTTGCGAGAGTACTCTGGCTTATCTATTTCATATTTTAATACACAGCAATCTACTTCTAGGAACCCATTCTCAAAATCAAAATGCCAGCCATACAGACGGGCATCTGCCAAGTGCTGCTGCCATGCTCCTGTACTACTAGACTAGAGTCTTTAAAACAAGTGGGAAGAAAGCCAGGCCTGGTGCAGGTCTGCAAATCCAACCTCAACACTATGGAGACTGACGTGGGGGGGGGGTAACTTCAAGGCCAGCCTGGGCTATCTAGTCAGATTCCCACCCCACCCCCAACCCAGGCAACAACAAATTAGAAGAAAAAGGGAAGAAGGGAGGAAGAGAGAGAGAGAGAGAGAGAGAGAGAGAGAGAGAGAGAGAGAGAGAGAGAGAGAGAGAATTCCTGTCAGTAGGAATTTAAATAAACTGTGAGCCATCCACAAAGTGCTGAGTTCTGGTTCACTATTTCTTTGAGATCTGGAAAATGGGTCTGAAAGCAGAGCTGCTCACTGAACCGCAAACAGAATGCTAACAAGGTATAGAAGATGCCGCCCATCTAGAAGCCAAGAGATAGCTCAGTGGGTAGAGGCACTTGCTACCATAGCAACCTGGTTTCAACATGGTAGGAGGAGAAAGTTGTTGTCTGCCAACCTCCACGTGCACACTGTGGCATCTGCATGCCCCCCACATACAAAATAAAATAAATACTTTAAAAAAATAAAAAATATAGAATAAGGTTAGGTATAAATATTAAGCTATGGCTAGCTAAATATTGCAATATTATATATACATTTCTAAAACTCTATAGCTATAGATGAGAGATTAAAGATAGGATGATAAATAACTTTAGAAAGTCTATGTATATATAATAAACACAGAAATATATAAGAGCTGTATAATATGCAGTTAGGCATAAAGGTATCTTTATGTAGTATATTAAAAAATCCTGATGAACTATATGTACTGTATATGACTTATATGTCTTTCTTGTTTGTTTATTTGAGACAGGTCTTACTATGCAGCCCTGGCTGTGCTGGAGCTTGCTTTGTAGACCAGGCTGGACTTGAACTCACAGAGATCCACCTGCCTCTGCCTCTCGAGTGCTGGGATTAGAGGCGTGCGTCACCAGGCCTGGCTTTGACTTGTATGTTGTAAAGTGTTTTGTGGGTCAGATTTGCGCATACATACACATCTGTGGGTCAGCTCTAGGATCTCTATGTTGGTGCTATGGCTAGCTTTCATTGCCAACTTGACAAAGAATAGTATTATTTTTATTAATACTATTAATAATGACAATTAATATTAGTAATATTAATATTAACAATTAATAATATTACCCGGGAGATGAGCCCCTCTGGGCTCTGACCATGCCTCTGGGGGATTAGCTTGATTATGTTAACCAGTGTGGGAAGACCTATTTTTATTCCCTAGGCTGGGGATCCTGACTGTGCAAACGGAGCTGCCTGCAGTCACCCCTCTGTTTCTTGTCAGTAGATGAGACGGAAGCAGCCACCTCATGTTCCTGTAGTCCCGACCTCCCCTTGAAAGTGGAACAGATGTGGGGCTGTAGTGAAGATCAACCCTTACACCTTTAACTTGCTCATGTCGGGGGTTTTTATGACAACAACGGGAAGGGAAACCCAGACATCGGCTGCATTTCCTCACAGCTTTGTGACTGTAGGTACAGAAGCAAAGACACGGGCACAGATGGACAGCACTGGAGCAGGTGCCCAGGGCAGTCCGAGACAGACTGACAGTGTTGGAGCAGGTGTCGAGGTCACTGCCCAAAGCCCACATGTGACCCAAAGCAGCTATGATATGAATTCAGTCAACAAATAACCATGAACTCACTCAGAACATTATGCTATGAACTCAGGTGAACCCAGAACTCACAAAGTGGCCGAGACTGGCCTCAAACTCACAATCCCCCTGCCTCAGCTGAGGGCTGCAGTGACAGCTGTGTACCACCCTGCCCAGTCCAACTGTTTCCTTTTCTTCTCTCCTAGGTGGAGCAGTCCTTGTCCCTAATGCTTGGGACCTGAAGGGTTTTACACTTCAGATTTTCTTGGATGTTTGAATATTTGTGTGTGTGTGTGTGTGTGTGTGTGTGTGTGTGTGTGTGTGTATAACCATATAATGAGACATCTATAGGGACAGGCCACATCTAAACACAAAATCCATACGTTTAACATACACCTATACTCATGGTCATTTTATACAGTATTTTTAGGGGGTGGTATGTTTGTAGTCTGTCATGTGAGGTCAGGTCTGGGATTTTCCATTAGGTTTCATGTCAGTGCTCAGAGCTTCCATTTCAGAACATTCTGGATGGGGTTTGGGATTGGTAAACTATACCTATGAATGTTTTCTGACTCAGTTTCATCTGGATGGGGCTCAAGTTGGTTGTGGGTCTTAGGACTTGACGGTTCATGTCAGACAGGCACGTCTACCTGGGTCCCTGAGTAGCTTAGTGGAGCTAAGATGGCCTCGCTCCACTCTGCCCCGTGGTGCACGAGCCCCACCCTGCTCACCGTGCTGTCCTGGATGTACTGCTCCCAGATGCTGGCTGTCAACCCTTGCCCAGCATCACAGGGCAGGTCCGGAGACACAATCATGTGATTGACCAGGGCCGACAGGTGGGTCCTCACGGTGGACAGGTGTCTGCAGTAGGCGAGCCCTGGCCCAGGAGGGAAGGCAGACGTTATCTTCTACCCAACACGCTTCGCCCAGTCTCTCCTGGATGCTCCATGTGGCTGTCCTGTTACCCACCCCATCTTCAGGGTCCCCCAACCCAGAAAATTCTCACCATCCCCTTTCTAGACAAAGAAAGCAAGTTGAAGATGCTATCACTGGTGGCTTGACTACTAAGCCATAGGGATGTTTTGTATTTAGTTGGATACCGCCCTCTGCTGAAAGTTAAAGCAATTCACAGATGTGCAGTGGGCAGAGAAGGGGCAGGAAGGCAGGGGAACCAAGGACTTCAAGGTTCACTTTGGGCCTGCCTCCCAGGCATATAGGAAGAACAAAGACCGACATAAACAGAGTCACTGCTGGGTGGAGAAGGGAGCCTGGGAGATGCCGAGTGTTCTGCCTGCTGTCCAAGATGGTCCTGTCCCCTCAGGATCACCCTGTCTGGGCTCCCTCATCCACTCTGCCTGGCATACGAGGCCCTCAATCAGTGCTTACTGAAGACCACAGCAGTAGCAGAGCCCAGTACTCACATCCGTAGAAGGCCCTGGAAAGGATCTGGTACTTCATGTTATCACAGAGCAGCTTCAGTGGAGCCCTGCGGGGAGAAGGGACAGAGGGCCACACACTGCTCAGCTGCACTGCATCAGCCTTGGGATTTTTGCTGCATCTACCTAGAAACACACGCTGTCTTCTAGGTAGTTTCTAAGCCAGAGGGGTACACAGCAGTGGTTGCTGAAGTCTTCTTGGCCATCACCAGGAGGGCCAGCCCAAGAACAGACCACCTTAAAGGCTTAGTCACCCCCGTCTGAAGACAACAACAGACCACCTTAAAGGCTCACCCATCCCCATCTGAAGACCCCGAGAACAGACCACCTTAAAGGCTCACCCACTCATATTTGAGGACCCCGACAACAGACCACCTTAAAGGCTCACCCACTCATATCTGAAGACACTGAGAGCTGCTCCCATTCTGAGCATCTGGGGCCAGCCAGGTCTAAAGCGACTGTGCCCCTGAACCTCTCAATCATGCTAGTACATTTTCTTTCTTTTCTATTTTCTTTCCTTGATTTTTTTTTGAGACAGGGTCTCATGATATAACCCAGGCTGGCTTGGAACCCACAATCCTCCTGCCTCAGCCTCCTGGGTGCTAGGATCACAGAACTACTCCAACACACACACTTCTTCTTTTTTCCTCTCGATCCAGTTTGAAGCGATGTGCTGTAAAGTGGCCCATGGCTTTGGCCCGTGGACTGCACAGTAGCAGGGCTCATGGCCCGTGGACTGCACAGTAGGCAGGGCTCATGGCCCGTGGACTGCACAGTAGGCAGGGCTCATGGCCCGTGGACTGCACAGTAGGCAGGGCTCATGGCCCGTGGACTGCACAGTAGCAGGGCTCATGGTCCGTGGACTGCACAGTAGCAGGACTCAGAGTCACTGCTCTCTGCACAATGCTCATGAGGCTGTTTGGAGTGAAAAGAGAAGAACACAGCCTAACATGGCAAGGAGACAGGGGCCGAGGAGGGCTGTGTGCTCGTACAGCGGACAGAATGGAAGAATCCTTATGCACCTATCCTAAAGGTATCCCAGGGATAGCAGGTAGACCCAGGAAGCCTGCTGGAAATGGAGCATGGCTGAAGTCCTGGGTATTTACATGGAGGGAGTCCCTCTTCCTGCCGTCAGGATGTGAGACTTGGTCTTATTCAAGGTGCATACAGTAAGCAGTTCCTCAGGGGGCTTGGCACTCTGAAGGAAGTGAGCTCCTCATCATATAGGTATGTAAGTCAGATGTTCTGAGGGCAGGCAATGGGAAAAGTATCATTGCTCAATGGTCCATGATGACTACTTACTAGTTCCTTCTAACAACCCTACTAAGTTAATGTTTCATGGAGAAGCACACAGAACAATGACCATCCTTAAATAATATTTCTGGCTCCTAGTGTATGCTTGGCCTGTATTTCTTGGCCTCCCTGTGAGTGGGGCCATGAGTTGAAACAGAAATACCATTGCCTCTGATACTGTGACTAGTGACATCCAAGTTGATGTCCATTAGAAAGCAGAGCCATGGCAGACTCATAGCATTTGGGACATGTCAGCATTTACTGTAAAAAGCTATTGATGTTTTAGGGCTCTTTGTTACTGCAGCAGAACCTTGCCCTGACTGACACATGGAAGGGAATTGCAGTGGCTACAACTACACAAGGCTACGATTTAAACTTTGGGGATCCACAGGCCACGTTCACACCTCCCAAAATTTAGGCCAAGGCAAGAGAGAGAAAGATAGACACAGGCCTTAGGTCAGTGCTTCAAGCTCCTCCATGTACAGCCTGAGCCCCACATACCTCTCATGGTTGCAGCCATTGGTTGAGCCGCCATCAGCCGAGCCGCTCTGTGAACAGGAAGAGCAGGAGGACTTCCGAGGACTGGGTTGCCATAGGGATGGAAGATTGTTCACAGAGACGTCCATCAGGTCCTGGGGAACTGTGGTGGGTAGTGGGTAGAAAGGGAACCCGGCAATAGCCTTGGTTAAACCAACATGGATTACAGAAACTTGACCCCAAAGCAATCAGCTCCCTCAAAGCTGGCTCAGGGGCAGAGAGGATAGGAGTGTGACTGTCCCAAATGTGCCCAACCACAATCTGATGGAGTCCCCGAGCCCGCCTGATCCAGGGAAAACCACCACCAAGCTTCAGAGACTCCGGCTGCAGAGCAGAGTGGAGGGCAGCCGAAGGCGGAAGGAGAGAGGAAGCAACCAGAGCCCGGAAGCCTGCAGACAACCCCACCTCGCCATGCCCTCATTCAGTACTGCTCACAGGAAGGTGGCATGAGGCAAGGGAAGCTTACTGGGTGCTCCTGAGTTCCTATGCCTCTAAAGAAGCTTGTGTGGTCAGAAGGGAAGGAACCAATCTCAAAATATAAGAGGAGTCCCCAGGGCCTGGGTGGGGGCGGCAGTAGCGCTGTTCATAATCCTGAACTAGAAATCACCTTCAACAGGTGACTTAGGTGGGGGGGGGCTCCTTAAAAAGCCAAATGCCCATCTAGTACCCTGAAATCTTGAAGACAAAAGTCTCAAATGCACCTAGCTTCTGGTTATAGGTTCTCTCCTTCCACGATGTAGATTCTGGGGGTTCAGGCATGGTGGCCTTTATTTGCCGAGTTGTCTTGTTGGCCCAAGACCTGTTTTTCTCTTGCTGTTTTCCAGTCAAGGACATAAAACCATGCCCAGCTCTTGGGCTGTACAGAAGGGGCTGGATGTGGCCCCTGGGCATGGGTTGGGGAGCCCTGCTCTAGGACACGAGATGCGTGTTCGTCCTCTTACCTGCTACGGCCTCTTAGGACGGCTGCTCTCACCTAGGCTCTTCCCCTGGGCCCAGAGAGGGGGAAAGACTCCCACTCTATGCCCTCTCCTTGTTACCGGAGCTCTGTGGCTGACTGGACCATGCTGACCCACACAACAGAGAGGCATATGCTGGCTACAGAGTGAGGCTCTCGCACCTACACTGACAGTGTACGGCTCCCCTCTCTCCTCACAGACTCACCACTGAGCTGGCCAGAAAACACCCTGGTTCTTAGGCTGACCCAGGGAGGCACAGGGCAGCAATCGTGCCTCCAGCACTCACGCCACACAGTCAGCACCCGCGAGTCACGGACCCTAATGGCTGCCTTCTGCAGGGTGGGGACCAAGAGGCACGAGACTGTTCGTTTGTTTCCTTTTTCCATTCTCCTTGGGAACAGACTCAAATGATGACATGGCTGAAGTGGCGCCCAGCCTGGGAGAAGGGGACCTGGAACCAGACATTACTGGGGGGCTGCTCCTTCACACTCCGTGTGGGGATGGTGAGGTACCCTCTGGTTTGTCCCCACTGGATCCCCCTGGCCACCACCAGAACGGACTGGCCAGCAGCAAGCATCATCCAGGCAGGACCAACAGACACGGGTCGAGGGCCGCCCAAAAGATCAAGGGTAACTTGAGACAGAAAACAAAAAGAATCAGTGAGGAGGGAGAGCTATGGTGGGTCAGACAGAGACCAAGAGAGAAACCAGTCCCCCTGGGCTCTAATCTTTCCCTGCTCTGCTCCAGACATTTATAAATTGCCCACTCAGTGCCAGGCACTAAATCAGGTTTGCCATTTATCCTTGGTGACCCGTGTTTTAGAAATGGCAGACATTCCTAACAGTGGCAATAACAGCAGTAACGGGGAGAGCTAGGGCCTGTTTCTCTCTGAGACATGCACTTGCCCAGCAGCCCCAGCTAGCCTCAAACTCACATTTCTCCCGCTTCAGACTCCTGAGTGTTGGATTACAGTGTGCTCCATCACACCTGACTCAATCCAAGCTTGTGTATGTGTGTGTGTGTTTGAACAGGTGCACACATATGTGTGACTGTCAGTGCATGTTTGTGCAATGCTTGTGGAGGCCAGAGGTTAGCCTCAAGGGTTGTTCTCCAATACTATGCATGTATTTTGGCTTTTGAGACAGTCTTTCACTGGCCTGGAACTTGGCAAGTAGAATAAGCTGGCTGGCTAGCAAGACCCAGGGAACTGCCTGACTCTGACTCCCTAGCACTGGTTAACAAGTGCCTGCCATTATACCATGCCCGGTTTCACATGTGTGTGGATGCACGCGTGTGTGCACATAAGTGTTGCATGCACAAGTATGATTGTGTGCAGAGGTCAGAACAAGATCTGGGGTGTTTTCTCTATTCCTTGTCACTTTATTCCACTGAGTGTCTCGTACAACTTGAAGGCTTGCCATTTTGGCTCTGTGATTACCCAGGGAACGCATGGGGTTTGCCTAGCTCTGTCCCCCAAAGTGGAGGTTGTGGGCATGTGTAGTCAAGCTTGGCTTTTTATTAGATATTTGAACTCAGATCTTTGTGCTTGCATTGGCTCCTCGTAAATCACAGTGAGATAAGAGGGTCACACAGCAGCTAGCGTGCACATGCTCAGCGTGTGCCGAATGCCTGCAGCAGACAGCCCATTTCACAGACAAGAAAAAAGAAGGCCCGGGAGGGGATGAGAAGAAACCTGACCATGTCAAGCCAGGCTTCTGGAGCCCACGGCACTGTCACTATTAATGTCGCCTCCTGCCCAGCGGGCGCTGTTGGTTCTCACTTGCGGGGGAGGTGGAAGGCACTGGGACACTTAGGGTTTGAGCTCCCTTTGCTGGCCCAGCTCGCTACTTGTAACTTTTGGAGTAGCTCTCAGGAGGAGCCAGTGAGTGTAGGGCCGAGGGCTGCTTACCAAATTCAGACTGCATGCCAGGGTAGATGATGCGGAACACGTAATCTGTGGCTTCGTCATCCTCTTTATCCGACGATGTGGACTCCGAGGACCCCTGTGGGCTCCGCTTGCGCAGTTTAGGAAATACCTTCCCCTGCAGGAACACATTCCAGGACAGATTTCAGAGCCATCTGCTCCCAAGCCCTGCAACACTGAGGGTCTCACAGTGGGGCCGAATGACACCCCATGGCTGGCATCGCCTCCACCTTCTCAAGGCCCCCACACCTCACCTTTCCTCGCTGTGACCAAAGTGGTGGGTCCAGCTGCCCGTGCGGAAGCAATCCATTCTCCAGGCAGGAGAGGAACTGTAACAGGTGCCCACCCTTGGGGAAGCGGAAGGGCGGCCTCTGGATTCCATCCTGGCTCACCAGCACAACAGTCCCACCACTGTCCACTGCCGCCACCACCACAAGACAAGAGAGAACGGCAGGTGTCACGCGAAGCATGGTGCAGTACCAACACATGAATCCACACCCAAGACTCACCAGGTCAGGGGAGCCACTCTGGGTTGTAGGTGACTGCTAAGAGCATGGATTTGACACCTATTTGACACCTAATGCATACCAACACCGTGTATTAAAAATTCTGTCTTACTGTAACCCCCAGAATATCCCTGCAAGGCTTAGCTATGATCACCTATTTCACAAGAGACAAAACTAAGGCTCAGATAGGCTTTGGGTCATCCCCAAGGTCACACAGCTGATAAGTTGCCACGCCTGGACAGGAACCAAGGTCTGCTTTCGTAAAGGGGATTAAACCATCGAGTTCCATACCTAGATGAGGCACAGCGCACCCTGTTTGTTCTAAATGTACCTTCTTCCGGCTTTAATGGAATATACGGGTTAATGATCTCAGGTCTGCATACCACTGATCTTGGACTCAGAAAGATATGGGTTTAAGTCCTGTCTCCAGAGTCAACAGTCTGTGTCATTTTGTATGTGACTGCAGAGGCCACTGCCACTAAGTGGTTATAATGATTCAAAGTTTGCTTGAGTAGGTACACAGGTGTCCTGGAATGCTAAATGAAGGAACAGGGTGAGGTGGTGAGGAGGGACAGGGACCCACGAGATGGACGCCTAGCCACCGCTGTCTCTGCGGTCCCTACCGTGCTGGTGGCAGTGAGGTGAGGTGGTAAGGAGGGACAGGGACCCACGAGATGGACGCCTAGCCACCTCTGTCTCTGCGGTCCCTACCTTGCTGGTGGCAGTGAGGTGAGGTGGTGAGGAGGGACAGGGACCCACGATGGATGCCTAGCCACCGCTGTCTCTGCGGTCCCTACCTTGCTGGTGGCAGTG